TCTGGAAGTTTTATTTGTAAAAATAACTACTAGTTTGAACAATTGATATCAGATATTCTCCTACCTTGACAAACACCTGGGCTCCATCCAAAGAAAATCACTTGCTTTTTTGTGATGTTTAGTTTTTTTGTTTAGAAAATAAAAAAAAAGAACATCTTCCACCTCTGTTTCTTATTAGAATCAGTTAAATAACACAGGAGATTTCTGTCATACGTAGAACGCAACCAGTGAATTTGACTTCTCATCACTTTTAAAGAAATGTCCAATAATGCAGCTGTTGTTGCATTATGTCTTTTGATTATTGACATTTATTTCAATCATTTCTAAGCTCTCTACAAAATATGAATGTACAGTAGGTTAAAGATGCAAGTGAGCAACTATGTATACTAAATGAGCTTTACTAGATTCACTTGAACTAATGAAAAGTGTAAAACTAGAAAGAAAGTGCTAAAGCTGAGTCCAACGTGCTTGAACAGAGATTTAGTTTCAGGGTGGGTAGAATTCTGTAACCAGGTCTTTGGATGGTTCGCCACACTTCCATGTTTTCTCCATTTGTACATAATAGCTGTCAGTGTGTTTATCTTGGAGGACCAAAACCTTACAAACATGGTTTTTGTAACTCAGTCCAGCTGTATGGTAGTCAATGGCTTGGTTTTTATTTTTCTTTTAGCAATATATAATGAGCTTTTTCACCTACTTCATGTTGTCTGACAGCTTCTATTCAAGAGATTTATTATTCATTTTTCGTGAAATGGTAAATGGGCCTATACGTATGGGTCGACACCTATTACTAATATTAAATATAATTACTTTTTATGTAAAAGAGTGTGAGAAAATGGTGAAAACATGTTTCCTAAAGTAAGAAAACTCACCATCTGTTGAGGGAGGTTCTTCTCACTGGATCAGTAAGGAGTTTGAGTTATTTATTTTTTTCTCAGTGGCAGTTTAGTGATTCAGCGATGGAAAGAGAAAATAGCCGGTTTAGAAGTGGAACCAGTTTGGTAGGAAACAGAAAAAAAAATCCCTCCCAGAATGACTGGTAGTCATGGCAGAGGCAACGGCGAGCATCCTCTAGGATCAACAGCCGTGTGGGGTATTCCAAAAGATTGCGTGGAGACATGTGGTTGTGTTTGTGTAGGTGGGACCACCGTATGAGAATGTGTGTGACAGCTAGTAATCTACTCTCATGCATCACAGATCAAAGGGTAAAGGCAGCCGCCTGGTCATTTTACCCACGGCCACCCTGATGGCATGGCATGCTTCGAATGGTGAAGAACACCATTTATACACAGACACACACACCAACATAATAGATCTACAACCGGATGGAGCACATTTTGGAATGGACGCCAATAGTTGCTATAGAAATGCGCCACAAAGCTGAAGGGGCAAATGGAGGAAGAAGAGGGGCTTCGAGGTGGTGCTCTGTCAATACGTTGCCAGGCAACGTTCAACTCTAACCAAGCTGGGTTTGATAACTTCTTGATAACACCGGTGGGAGAGTCTGTGTGTGTGTGTGCATATGTCTGAGATGGACATGTTATTAGCAGAGGCAGTGAAAGAGCCCCTGCAGAGACCAACCCAAAGGAGAGATAAGGGGAGAGAGACCTGCTATTAAAGGCTGGGTTAGAGGGCCTCAAGAACTTTCTTTCTCTTCCTCTAAAGGCAGAACAAAAGATCTTTCTTCATAATGACTCACACAGAGGAACCAAAGGAGTGGTGCTTAAACATTTTTGTTTGTTTTTTTTATTCAACTTTTTTTTTCCAAACCAGGAATGTACTAATTTTTCCTCTCATTAGAGGTGTGTTGGTAGAGGAAAGGGTGGGTGAGGAGAAAAGAGAAAAAGGGTAGGGGATGTGGTGGTGAGTAGGAAAGGAGGTAACAAGGAAAGAGGAGAAGGAAGAGAGGAGAGGACAAACAGAAAAAAACAACCCTTTTCACACAGAGGTGTCCCCAAAATACAAAGTCGCAACACATCACATAGGAGCGCTGCGTCGACCATCGGCCTCCGCTAGCCGGCTATTGGCACAAAGAAGCTCACGCACGTTTTATGCACATACACACAGTTTTAACCAACGGGGAGGTGAGGCAGCAGTTCTCTTTTTGTCTCCGTCTTTCTATTTCTTCTATACCACAGAAACAGCATTTCACATCCCGCTTCAAAAAAGTGGACTTGGTCTGATATTTTCCTTTTTCTTAGAAAACTTGAAAAACTGTGAGAGCTAAAGACACAACTTCAAATTATAACATCTACATGAGGATTGAACTGAGTCCAAGCGATACAGCTCTGCTTAAAAGTTCACATAAAGTCTTCATCGGTGCAAATTCAATATGTTCAATAAAGAATAAACTGCTTAAAAATATAACTGGATGCACCAATTTGGGTTTATTATGGAATATGTAGCTTATATATACATTTCCCTTATTATTATTTGGTTATGGTTAAGTTGCCCTTTTGTAAATTCTTCTTTTGCTTCTGGGAAAATCCTGATTGGATATTTGACAGTTCCTTTTATCAAAAATCTGAAGAGCTTATTTTAAGCTGGTTCAAAACATTGTCAGAATGTCCAATAAAGGAAAAGAGAGGTCAGAGTCTTTCGGGAGGCCATTCAGGAAGCTTTATATAAGCCTTTTAAAATCCACTTTTGGCATGTTAAGGATCACCTCCCTGTTAGAACACCCAACTGTGTCAAGTTTGATCTGACCAAAGCTGTCCCCTGGTCCTGAGTGAAGGCGATTATGTTCAAGAATAATGTAGAAATCCCCCATACTCAAGCTGATTATAAACTAGAGGAACAATGAATAACAGCATCCTTCCAAGGCAGTTTAACATCAGCATGGACTCTATCTATTCAAAAATAAAAGTTCTTAAAGGAATGTTTCTATAATTCTTTATAGTTTATGTTCTTATAACTATGTTACCTCCTATGTTGTTACCTTGAATAATTGAAGCTATATATAAGTTACATATATATCTATAAAACTGGTGGTAGTATCATAATGAGGGAACATTTATCTATTAGTTGCAATGATGCTTTGCAGTTGAAATATAGGAAGACGAGTAGTACCTCCAAATTCTTCAACTTCACCTTAAATCAGCCCTTAGTGGGTTGAAATAAAGCCAAAGTTTCTATTTCTGCTGGACATTAAACCTCAAACACAGTTCGAAAAATAGGGCTAACATCAAGGACAACTTTGACAAAAAGAGTGGGCAGAGATCAAACAAGAATTTTGCTAAAAACCTGTTGATTTTGGCAAATAAATGTTTATAAAGGTTTTACATCAACATGTATTAGGAGGGTTTTAAATTTGTTAAGTTTTTATGTGAATCATGTCTTTATTGCCTTATGTGGGAAGTATTTGTTGTTTTAAATGAGACCAACTTTAAGATTATAGCCAATACTGACAACATCTTTTTAGAGGAATAAAAGTGAGGTTGTTTCTGCTAAGGATGCTATACCACTCGTTGTGGTAGCCTGCCTGACTACTAGTAGTACGGGCATATGCATAAAGAAAGTGGACTTTAATTTTACCATAAAGCATTAAGGTGTTGCCTAAATTATTGGCTATTTAACAGGTAAGTAATCCCAAATACATGTGAACACAGCTTACAGAATGGATCGAGTTTGTTAACATGAACCAGATCCAAAACCTATCAGGAAACAAACTGGTTTCAATTATCAATTAAGGAAACTGGACAAATGACCAACAGAACTACACCAGAAGCAGCAAAAGAGTTGTTTCTACCCCAAAACTTAAGACCCAAAATATTAGTAGGTGTATACATATAAGCTCTACACTTATTGTTTTTGCATTTAGATTTTAAGTTATACTCTTTAATCATCATTTCAATGCGGAAAAAGTATGGTTCCAATTATAACCATTAAAAATCTTAAATGGAGATGACGTTCATTCTGATGATGGCTGCATGTTAACCTCTAAGCAGAGTGTAGCTGACATTCTGCTGAGTGGAAAAAAGGAGGAAAATGGACTAGAAAGTGGATTTCTTTTTGTTTAATTTTTGCCCACAATTATTCACTTTTTCCCCCTTTTTAGTCAAATATTTTCATTTTGGACTTTCAGAGAATAACAGACACTTCATTTGGCTTGAAGTTTGTTTAAGTACTTAAATAAACATTATACATAAAAAAAAAAAGGGAACACAAGTTGGTAGTTTTACAAAAAAAAAGGAGAATTTGAGGTGCTTTTTCCCCCTCTCTCTGTCTTTTTTTCCAAAATCATTTTTAATACAGTCAAAATACAATCTAAACTCCTCCGTGGTATTGAAAACAATCCAAAAATAAAACATCATGTGTGGAACAAAGTCATTTTAGACGAATGCGACACTTAGGTATGAAAGATTATATGATACTGGTACAAAAACACGTCTGAGAAATGTGAAAAGGTTCAGATTTTTAACACTGGCTTCACACAGGAAACATGGCAATAACACTGGAGTCTTCTTGTGTCTGGACAAAGTTGAAAAGAAAAAAAGAAAAAGCATAAGCTTTCCGCGGTTTACACATAAGCCAAAAAACATGTCTGAGCAACACAAAACAGCTTTATTAGTATGCACAAGGTGAACATTATGCACCTCCCCACACAGCGAAGGGCTGCTGCTCTCTGAGGTTGAGGTGCAGGGCACTGGTGTGTATTTATGTAAGTATCTCTGTGTGCGAATAAGAGGAAAACAAAACACAATCAATCATTTTTTTAAATCCCTTTCACGTCCGTCACGTGATTCAGGAGAACAGAAATCGGATGAAAGTAACATTTTCATGTTGAGTGTGGGTGAACGTGTTTGGAGGATGTCATCCGACGGTCGTCAAGAAACGCGTGAAATCCGAGAGAGTGTGTTGTGTGCGTTTCAACACAAATGTTGGCGGGAGAAAGAGAGGAACGAATCCGTAACGTGCCGGAGTCACAGTGGATGTGTGGGTGTGGATGTCTGTGGCATGTAGAGTTCAACTCCTCCGAAATCCGTTTTTTGCTCTTTTTCTTTTGGCTGACAGTCCAGCACCTCAGAGGTTTCTCCTCTTGTGCCAGCCACTCTTTCATGTGCTTTCTGTCCGTCTTTCCTTCCTTCCACTGGATCCTTCATCTATTAGTCCAGCTGCTCCTTTTTTTTTTTTTGCCTGTTTGCTTCACAGTCTTGTCAATCCTCATCACCCTTCCGCTCATTTTTCTCTTTTCCTTAAAGTTTTGCATTCAGAAGCTGCTTCATTCCTCCTCCCGAGACGGCGCTCTTTCTCTCTCCTCTGTACTTCTTTTTTTCACTTCATCCTCTCTCTTAAACCTTCCCCCTTCCCCGTCCTCCACTGCCACCCCCCCACCACAGCTTCTTTTACATCTGCCTTTTAAAAATAAAATAAAAAAATAACTGAAAAAAAAACTTCCATTGATGGTTCTACCTCAACACTTCCACGAAAATGAGGTCTAGACCTCAAAACTACAGCATAGTACGATGAGCTATAAAAATATACAGAGTCGACCTCGGGGAGGAGGAGGGAGAGAATGAAAACAGAGAAACAACTTCTTTAAACAGAGGATGCACAGTGCTCTACAAAAGTTTTTGTACCCCTTAAACTCTTTAGATTTTGTCATAATATAACATTAAATAAAATTTTATTTTATAGATCAATACAAAGTGTGCCTTAGCATAAAGACAGGGCCCAAATGTATTTGGTTTTTCTCTAATAGTCTTGGAGTGACAAGAATTCTATAGCAATGCACTAGATTTAGCATTTATATGCCAATGCACTAGATTTATTTAAGTAGTGTTCGAGAAAATAGGGCTACAAATTCCCAATTATGCACCCATTTGTGTTGACCTACCTCAAAAAAAGCTCTACAAAATCATATTAAAACATTGGGAGTTTATGTTTATAGTGTAACAAAATCTCCAAAAAGTCTAAGAGGTGTGAATACTTTCGTAAGGCACTAAAATATAGAGGTAAAAGTGTGGAAAATAGTCAAAAAACGAAAAAGCTAATGAAAACATTTAGAAACATAAGTGTAGTTTAATAGAGTGGGTAAAAATAATAAACCAATAAAAAAACCATCTACAAATTATTTACTGGATATTCATATATATAATCTATAAGTGTTGATAGCCATAAAAAATCTCAGTTTTTTGATATTCGCTCACTATTTTGTGTTTTGGTATTTGAGACGAGTCTAAAGAGCACGCACGCTCACACACACACACACACACACAGAAAAGCACGCACACACTGAAGTGTATGCAAACTTGCTGAAGCACACTAACTTCACTCTAATTTGGAGCAGCAGCAGCAGCGCCATAATTATTACCCAACTGTTCTGCTCCGTTGCACACAGTCACACAAACACACATTTTATTAAAATATACACGATTCTGCGAGTCACCGATTGACCAGACGCCGTCCGGGAATCTGGTCTGGGCTCGGGGTGTGAGTCCGAGGCCCCATAGCCTTTTTTCTTGATTTAAACAAACACGAACAAACTAGGAGGCTATTGTCGAGTTAGCGGCAGGGGGCTCGTCTCAGATTGGATGATAGAGATCTAAAAGGGAGGTGGGGTGGTGGGCAAGGCGGGCGTTGGTCTCTGAGACTCAGAGTTCATCGTTGCCAAGTGGGTCCAGGAGCATAGTCCTTTTTAAAAAGTCCTTTCAGTCGTTTTTTTTTTTTTTAAAACATCCCAACACCAGGTTCACACTCTTAGAAAAAGGGTGTGTGCCACATTAAAGGGTGGGGGGGCTCATTTGGCTCTGAGTTAAAAAGACGGGGGAATTCAGAGCCTCTTGCCCAATTTTAAGGGCCTTGTTAGGAAGGGCTATGTGCGGTTACAATATCACCCCTTAAACACACCTAATGGCCCAGTTGTGTGAAATAGGGGTTAAGGGGGGAGGAGGGTTTATTCAGCTAGAAACACAACAGTGGCCGGGGCAAGTGGGGTGAGGGGTTTCAAAGGACAAAACTGGTACTACTGAGACATTCCAGCTTGGAGCTATGATGGCAAACTTTTCAGTGGCTTCATTTGGGAGATGTTGGGCGTGATTGGCTGGTTGTGGTTGAAGGAAGGCGGGAGTGTCCAGACGGCTGTCTCATACTTTGTAGTAAATGTTGGCGGGGCTCTGAGGCGGCATCTCCTGGACGATGTAGACGGGGTGCCCATAGTCCCCGCTCACCTTCTCGTAGTGCGGGCAGTAAGCCGAGTCTGACGTCCGCAGGGGGATGATGATGTCGCTAGGCTCTGAGCCATTGTTGTTGGAACTGGATATCCCACCACCACCGCCGCGCTTAGGGCTGGTGAGGGACGAGAGCGACAGCGGTGGGTGGTGGGTGTCAGAGTGCTTGGCATGCCTCCGGCGGTAGCACACAATGCAGATCACAGCAGTGACCAGTAAGAGAAAGGCGGAGCCTCCGGCTGCACCGGCGATAAGGGCGATGTTGGGTGGCGCTAGAGGTCCATTTTCACCTTCGCCGCCATCTCCAAACGGCCCTCGAGTGTGGGTTGAGTTTCCCCCTGAAATAAACGAGAATACAATAATTTTAGGGTTATGAGCACCTAAAAAGAGTTAAGCATCCAAATAGAACTAGTAAAGTCTTATAGAGCAGGCATCTCCAACCTCGGTCCTCGAGGCCCGCTGTCCTGCAGGTTTTAGAGGTGTCCTTGCTCCAGCACAGCAGATTTTAATTAAAAACTGATTAACAGGCTTTTGATCTACTGCAATCATTATAATCAGCTGCGCTAAAGCAGGGAAACCTCTAAAACCTGCAAGACAGCTGCCCTCGAGGACAGAGGTTGGGGATGCCTGTTATACAGGATACTGGAAATATAGGATTCACTGTGATGTTTTACTCTACAACAAAGTAGTAGTTATTTTTTAATGCATTCACAATAAAGCAGATATTTGTCTTAAAAAATGTACTGCAGTCACAAGATAGAGGTCATTCCAAATGCTTCCTAACTGCAGTATTTGTAAATAATATAATTTGTTACACCTTACAGTTGAGAACAGTACTGAAATGTACAGTATTGTATTGCTGTTGTTTCTGCCATTCTGTTATAAACAAGGTAAAACTGGGAGTGTACAAGCTGATAATAGTTGGTTAAGAGATGGGCTATCTGCAGTTGGCTGCATTAAATACATCCTGCACTTTGGGGGGATTTACAGCTTGTGCCTATCTCCAAATGTCAATGGAAGAGAGGCATGACTTGACATACAGTAATGCCAGTCTATCGCACAAGGATAGACAGGAACCATAAGCAAACATGCTCACACTAACATCTACAGGTGGTTTTTTGGAGGCCAATAAAATTATATTAATGGACAATTTGAACTCAGGACTTTCAGTTAAGCCCACAGTTCTTAAACAATACTTTAATCCTAGTGACTGGCATATATGCATGATTCTTGAAAAGAAATATGAGTCCGTAAAAAGCCGTACATGCAGGTCAAAGTGCAGATTATAGTTGGTCACGGATATCCTTTCGGTGCATTAGCGTTGCTGTGTTGCGCGAAGATTATCAATAAGTGCCCTATCTGGCAACCCCTTCAAAAATTATCTGAAGGCTCCATTGGTGCCAGAGAATCTTCCCAGTGCTTCTACATTAAACCCAACAATACAATAACACTGGACACTTTCACAATTCATGCTTTCATGATGCTTTGGAGAAAACATACCGATCTTTATGGCCCTACACCACAATAACATGAGTAATGGTGATGGTTTAGCTCAATGAGGCTGCGTCAGCTCCAACCCAGCGGAATGCAGTAAGTATGCAGCAGATCTCATAGAAGCTTATTTGTGGTCTCTTTATTGATGTGATGAAGTGGACAGCAGCGCATATAAAAACAGCGAAGAATGTCCGCAGTGAGCGAGAGCTGTGCACAGTGTATGCTTTGTGGAGAGCCAGGCTGAGCCACAGTGTATATCAAGGTAACAAACTGTATTTCCCTAACCCTTAGGATAGTATTTGCTTAGTATTACCGGCAGCCACAAGAAGTTCGCCTCCTGGGTCCACTCCCATCACCGGACCACACACTGGCCCACTCACCCTCTTGCCTAAACGTCTTTCTATTTATCTGTCGGTCTTACAAGCTGTCCTCACTCTGTCTTTCTGTTTTGTGTGTCTTCGTTTGCCTGAAAGTTGAGATTTTTACAGCCTCTGACTTGGCAGCTGTCCCCGCAGGGGGCTGGGTCAGAACTCAGCAGGTGAATGATGGTCTTGGGGTTGGTTGGTGTGTTTTTGTATGTGGGTGTGTGTGTGTACAGAGGCAGGGAGCGTGTTAGCAGGAGTTTCAAACTGGTTAAGGCTGAGATAGAGTCGCTTGTATTTGTCCATCATTATTCTTGGCACATATCCCTTTCTGCCTCGCTCCTGCGTCTCCCTCTGTGTCCTCCTCCCCTCCCTCCTCACTCCGTGGTCCTCGCTGTCTTTGGGTTATTGTAGCCGTAATGACCTACCTTGCTCTGAGCTCACTGCCTGGCAACAAAGACACACTCGTACACTCAGATACTGACACAAACACACACACACACAGTCATAACCGGAATATACACACTGGCTCACCTCACCAACCCCCTCCCTTTGGCACTCAGCACCCCGTTGCGCTGGACCGACCAGGAGCAAAACCCTGATGCCGGACGTCGATTATGGTCCCTACTCCCGCTCTCATCCTCCGTCCATTAACCCAATATCCCTCACTCCCTATCTCCATTACAGATGCCGCTTTTCACCCAGGCTCTTTATTATATTCTCTTCTCTTTTACCTTTATTACCCCACCCCCTCCATTTTCCTACTCCCCTTCCTGTTTTTATCACCACATTTTAGACTCTGAGGCTTTACTTTCCATCTGATCCCATTAGCCATCTTATATCAATAATGAATTCACCTTAGAGACAAACACGCAACAGGTAAAAATAAAAATAAAATAATAAGCAGAAACACCAGCTGTCGTTACCCTACTCCTTCACAGTTACATCAACTTGGAATCAAAAAAAAAAAAAAACATACGTATGAAAGATAAATGTATATATATTTTATTCATTTTTATATATTTTTTGCCATATGGGATATTGACTTTTTAAGACAATTATCGATTCAACTCAAGGCTGAAACAAGCAAAACAAAACGCCTGGGAGACTCAACCTCTATAAGTCTGAGGCAATTGTTTTCAACGGCAAATGGTGGACTGCATTCTTCAAGTTAGTAATCCATCCATGCATGCATATTCTATGTTCATATGCCTAATTATTATCTTTTATCCCCCAAAAAAGATCGTGCAGCTTTCCTATATGCTTTTAAAACTTGAGATGTACCCAAAAGTTTCAAGAGTCTGTCAGTCTGGGTGGTTATGTTACATTTAATCCCACTTTCACGTAATTGCCCAGGCTCTGACTACACATGCACACAGACTCCTCATATTATTATAATGTAGTCATCATGTTGTCAGCTTCCATTGCTTGTCAACTTAACAATAATGCAGAGATACTGGCATCCATTATTACCTCTAGAAGGTGCTGCTGTGTAATCTCTGAAGTGTTTTTCCATCTACAGTACATCTGTTGGTCACTTTAGGATTGTGAACTAATTAGACTAATGTCTAATGATGGTCGCATATAAAAATAAGCAAAAATGACAATGCAAAAAAAAAAATAATAATAATAATCGGAATTGAGCCCCAATACCTGCTGTGTGAATGTAGCCTTACTGTAGGAGGGAGCAAGAGATGGATCCGAGCCTAATCTTCACTAATGTGAGTTCTGCTGTAGTCTATTGTGGTAAATAAAGAGCTGAGCAAAAAAATAAATAAATCACCCCCATTACCAGTTTCTCTACCAGAGAGGTCTTCATCTCTAATAAGAGCTATTATCCTGCAACTTTTCGGTGCATCCTGACTCCAGCACACCTGAATCAAAAGAATCCCTTGTTACCTGGCCTCCTCAGAGCCAAATGACATACATTCATTGGAATCAGATGTGCTGAAGCAGGGATGCATCGACGAGCAGCATATAAATATGCCTGGTGTTGGAGACCCCGATTACAAATCTGTCCCTCAGGTATAATAAATGAGATATACATCAAGACTGAATGGCAAGGATGTTGAAAACAAGTGGCTTAAATAATATTAATAGTCTCCATAGTGTGACTGGACTTAGAGATAAGGTGAGATAAGGCTACCAGGTGCCTCCTAGGTGGGACTTTGAAGTCTTTTCAGACACATCCCACTAGGTAGGAGCCCTGAGGTAGACTCTGAACCTGCTGAGAGTCAATATGTTGCTTCTAACCTGGGAACTATTGCTGTTAAGAGGGTTCTTGTGATTGACTATTATTGACTTTATAATTCAAGCAATTCTAAATAAAATCACAAACATATGTTTTTTTTAAGAGTTTTCTTTATATCTTTTATTGTCCTGATTTCCAAACACAGGTCTTAATGCCATATTTATAATAACTTACTGAAATTCCTGAGATTACAATTGCTTAAACCAATGGAACTTAATCCTTCATGTTTTAGATGTTTTTTTGCTCCAGCACACCTCACTTAAATGATTGAAATACCTTATGACCATCCCATCAAATGCTGCAAATAATGTTTATCAATTTAGTTGTGTGTTGCAATGTCTAGAAACCTGCAGAACAGTCGGACAAGGATAGATAATAATAGGAGACAATACAATTTTCAATGCCAATCATAGCGACAGAAAAAATCTTAAACTTTAAAATTGTCCTTTTTACAGCATAAATTTTAAAAGTACACTTACATAATATAAAGCCTTGGTTATTTCAACGGTGGAACTGAGTAAGACCTTTTCAAGTTACCTCTTCTTCCACAATAGTAAATATTTAAAGGTCACATTTATAAATTTTACAAAAAAAAAAAAAAAAGGACAGCCATGCAAACTAGACAATCAAACATAGACTCTGCACTTGGTTAGAAATATAAAATAATGATAGGAAAGGCAGAGAAAAAGTATTTTAGTAAAACTAAGAGTGTTTTGCCTTAAGGCTGGTTTACACAGTAAGATTTTTAACTTTGTTGGGTGATTTTTCAAAACTTAAAGACCCCACAGGATAAAAAGTCAAGGGTAGAACAGTTTTGACTTGAAGGTTGTACTCCTATTCTTTCAGCAATGTGCAGCTATAGGTAGGAAATACAACAATGCTATTTAAAAGGTATGGTCAAAGGTATAAATATACAAAAAACACATAGATACCTTGAAAAGAATGAAAGCCTTTTATATTTAATTATTTACCATAATCTATACTTGCAGTGGACAGTTACGGACTTCCCTTTGTCCATCCGTTTGATGATAATGAACGTTGGCTGTTATCCCTTACTTATCTGCACATGTTAACGAGCAACTTCATTAAGCATGACCAAATAAGGTCTATTTTTTAAACCTGCAATAAGGTGACCTGAAAAGTCAATTTTCAGTTGTTGCTCTGGTGGGAAGATCATGCAAAAATCACTTGATGTGCTTGCCGACTTTAAACATGGCTGACAGCGGTTATAAAATAAACAGGGGCATCGGCATCAGTTAATGAGATCTAAGGTATTTCCAGAGCCCAAAGTAAACTTTGCTTTATCATCTTTGTTGCATCACTCTAAAATTGAATAGTTGTTTTAAAAGAGAATTGGGTTGATTGATATATTGTATGGATTGAGATGTAAGTGTGCATTTGGGTTTATGAGAGAAAGAAGAGGCCCTACATACAGCTTGTTTACCATTGGTGAGCGCTGTGCATCCTGGCAAAACAGCATCGGGCAATGCATTTGGACCTCTTAAGACAAGTTTCCGCTCAAGCTACAAAAATAAGGCATTCTGTGACTAAAAGCACTTGATGAAATCGAGCAATTGTGAGCATACATTGAGTTTACTGGTTGGGTCATGCTCTGTCACTCACAGGAACCTTATATTTTACAGATGATACGCTTATATTTGGAAATATATCACAACAGCCAAAGTAGGTTTTCACCTATGCATGACGAGGGTGTAGAAGCATTCTTTTAGCCAGCAGACTGACAGTGCACAGCAACATACGGGGAGAGGGTTTCTCTACATCCAACTGTTAAAAACTCCGGACAGCCTACTGTAATGTTTTTTTGGTAACTCGAAAGAAATTCAACTATATTAATGCAGTATCTTGCCTATGCTTAAACTAAGGAAAACCAGGATAGTCTGGATGGATATCACCATATGCATCATTTAATACCTGACTTTGCAGTGGACTCTGTTCAGGATGCATCCCCTCTCTCCCCAATGTAAAACCTTTTAAGCACACCATTAGCAACTAACACTTTTTTTCCCCAACACCAAACAAACTAAATGGCTTAAAGTCTGGAGCCAAGTAGAAAGAAAATATACAATCTCAATCTGACCTCACCATACTGAAACATTTATATTCCACCAAAAGTCGGTGATTCCAAAAATTCTCTGCATGCAGTCAGTAAATGTAATATTTTACCTTTTGTCTTAGAGGCCTAGGAACAGTCAACAAACAAAGAGGTCTGAATGAAATCTATTTAAATTTTGTTTCACCTAAAATTGATTAAACATGAATTTAAAGTCAGTTTCAGAGGGATTGTTTAAGTAAAATACCAGGTCATAATTCCTTTAACTGCTTCAGCCACCTGTCCGGCTGTTTTAAAGGGCTGTATAAGTGAATTGATAAAATAATTATGTGTGTATTTAATGAAAGAAAGATCTGAGGTGCTCTTCCTCACACACACAAGAGACAATGATCATCAGGAGCGCCTGAGTCCCTAATATGAAGCAAACCCACGGATTCTCACTCTCAGTGGACTGTTAAGAGTGGGTTAGTGCTGAGTGAATAATTATCAGTGTGTTCTGATCCGGATGAGTGGAGGTTGGTATAAATTAGGTGACACGGAAAGCAAATTCCTAAATAAGGCTCCTTTCTTTCAATACCGAAATGGAATTGGATGGAGGGAAATAATTTCAATATAATAGTGTTGAAACTATATCCTCTTAGATTAATTGAGACTGAGTCAAAACACCCTCATCTAAAAATCCAAAAGGTATAACACCATTATGTGAAGTTAAATCATTTATATTGGCAAATATACATACAGTTGTTGTCTACCTCACACATAAAACACTCCTCTCATATAAGATTTATGGACAAGTGATGTGAGAAAGTGTGAATGCATCAATTTACACATTCTGCCAAACAAATACACTGTCAGAAAAAAAAGAAAAAATAGACATGGACGCAGCTGAGTGTGAATCATGTCTTTTTTCCCTTCAGTGAATGACTTTGACTTGGAGCCTGAATCTGCACATTGCTTCCCCTCCTCTCCTTTTTCCGTTTCACTTCTCTTCGGTCTGTTCCATTATTCCCTTTATGCATCTTCTCCCCTCATCTTTCCATATTTCTTCCAATCGTTTACGTCCCTCGACAGAACTACAGAATCCAGGCCACAATGACTCCCTGCCCTTTTCTTTCTTTCACTAGCTTTGTCATGCCCTCCCTCTATTTTTCTCTTCCTTCTCCCAGGGTAGCTATTAGCCATCCCTCTCCCACCCGCGGTACTTAGCTTGAAGGAGGAGAGGGATAGAAATATGGAATTAAACAAAGAGATCTGCAGATGTCACTGCTGCATAGTCTCCATCTGTCACCTCCTGCCTCCCTCCCTCCCCTCTTTCCACGGCTGCTTTCCCTGTATCCTACTCTTTGCTTTTTCTCTATCCACTTTTTGGTTCTGTATATTGGTGGGATTATTGCTTCCATACCTGGGATTCTACTGGTGGTGCGTCCCGCTGGTTGGTCCTTTTTCGGGGGCAGTCCGTACTGGCCTGTGTTTGAAAAAGAAACAAGGGTCAAAGATGCATTGTTTTAATTTTATTTTCATCAAACCCAAAAAAATCCTGTTTTCCAGACTAATATTTTAAAACATATCAGTTCATTTAAGGCAATGTATAACTGCTAAACTACTAATATTTTCTTTTACTGTACAATTTCATCAAATGTATACACATCTGGAGATATTTAAATCAAATTACAGACTTTTTTAAACAGCGAAAGGCCTGTTTCTCTTATCTTTCAGAACTTAAACATATACACGACATTAGATCAATCCTAAGAAAAAAATAAAATCAGTAAAGAGCTTTAATAAAACTTCTCTCACTGCTCCTCTTCTTATAACAAAGCTCACAGTGACAAAGCTATGTATGTTTGTTCAAATAGGAAACCAGAAGTGGCCGTTGGGTTTTTTTTTTTTTTTTTGTTTTTTTTTTGTTTTTGTTTTTTTTGGACCAATTGATTTTTCACAAGGCCATAACGGCTTGTAATCTGTAGTCTCTAAATCAGGCCATCTGTCTAGCAAGCCCTCTGTGATGGTGATGGCATTAAACAGCATTTACAAGGCAAACACACACACACAAACACACACATACTTGTGTTGCATAAGTACGTCTTATCAAAAGCTGAATTAGATGGTCAGATGAAACTTATTTATATTCTCCTTTTTGAGCCATCTGGTCAACAGTAGGAATAGTATTATCCCGGAGTACTTTTGGTCGATGTAATGTTTAAAGTATAGAAGGTAGTTATAAATAGTGATAATAGACAGAAACACTGTCTTCAGACTTTCTTTCAGCCTTAGAAATGGTCTTGATCAATAGTTGTCACTGGTTATGAACTCTTTCATGTTTTATTTTCATTCTTTTTTTTTATATTGGTAACTTTAGGCGACAGGAAACCAGAATGGTAAATACTTTATTTCTTATCTAAACATGTGATATGTTAGCAGGCACATACAAATTAAAAAGTAATCTTTGCTTATAAAACTTTCAATTAATCTATTTTCAAGTGCAAAATCATGTGGTATCTGGATGTGGAAAACTAAACCTGTTCTTTCAATGGTTTTCAGAGAACCATTTTAGAACTGGTTCTAGTGCCACCTCTGCCATATAGTGACTTGCTAGAGTATCTATGCCCCTTAAACCTTTCAGTATTTCATCTTGTTACCACTTTATTTAAAATCTTTTTATTGTTTTAAGGGATACATTAACCCAAAGACCTTTGTCTGGACTTTGAATAGACCATCCTTGCCATTCTATTGTAGCTGTTGCTGTATGTTTGGTGCCATTGTTCTGTTGTAGGTGAACCTCTGCCCCAATTTCAACCTTCTGCTGCCTCTAACAGAGGCTTTTTCTTTGAGGGTTGAACTCCATGTACTGGTGCTCATCCATCTTTATATCCATTATGACCTGATTCAATTTATTAAACAAATTAAATTCATCCAGCCCAATACTGCTGTTTTTGTTTTGACAAACTGGACCTCTTATGACTTTTTTCGGCAAGAACTTTCTTCTTGCCTTTTTTTCAATGCTGGATTTGTGGAGAATTAGCCTAATATGCCGTCCTTCAAACATGGAAACAAGGTCCAATGGTTTGTTTTTAACTTTATCTGGAAATATGACTAATACTTTTCATGTCAACAGAACAGGATAAGAATAAGTTGCATGTAATCTGCCACCTGAGCTGTAGATCTGTACAGGTCCTCCAGAGTTACTATGGTCCTCTAAGCAGACTGATTAATTAAAAATGTTCCAGGGGGTATGCATGCTTTAGCAAGAAATGATGAGTAGGGTCTAATTCAGTGGTTTAACAACTTAACAAAACTTTAATCTGAAAATGATTAGCTGTAGAGTTGAACGTGAGGTAAGAAGCCACCAAAGTCTAAAGAAGTTTAGAAAGACCTTTGGAAAACCTGAAGAACTATTGACCAAGACTAATTTAAAAGGTTGGCTGCTTGGAGGTAAATTATGGAGAAACCAGGGGTGAGTTAAGGTTCCTCTTTGTGTGTATTGTGCAGAGTGCTCCAACTATATGTACTGACATTTAGAATAGTGTAGGCCTATTGGCCAGCAGCTCCCTTTTGACAGTAAACCAAACAGAAGTTGGAGGCGGTGATCAATAGGAACTGCTGTGTGGTCAGCGGGGGCAAGTGGAGGACGTCGAGGGTGGGCGCAGGAGAAAGTGTGTGCATGTATGTATGTGGCAGCTCCAGAGAGAGAGAGATAAAAAAAAAAAAAATAAGAGCAGACAGGTCGATCTATGTGTTTGCGTGTGTATTCCCCGCTTCGCTTCGGAGAGCAGCGAGAGGCGGGAGGCAGCTTATTTAGACGACAAACAACACAGACGTGACCTTTCAGCCACATGACAGATAAGATGGAAAGACAGAGGGGGAAAAAAGTGACAGTAAAAAGAGGGGGCAAGAGGTGTGAGGAGAGATAGACGTCATGCAAAGCAGAAAGGGAGAAGAAAAAGGAGATCTAAGAGCGAGTGGTGCAAGTTCGATGAAGAGGGAAAGGGAAGGATGAAGAAAAAGTGAGAGAAGGTTGCTTTTTCCATTGCCTATGTGAGCCAGGGGAAATAAAGTGTGTGGTATTTCTATTGAGCTGAGCTGACTGTGCTGATGTTACAGGCTGATAGAGCCATAACAGCGCCACTTGGCTCTTTGCTGAAGAGAACCTCCAATACACTGGGTCCGATAACACAGCCCAGATCAAAGAAATAGAAAAAGGCATCTTGTATTTGTGTACTTGTGTGTGTTTGCGTGTGTGTGTGTGGGCGGTCATATGAAGGACAGGTGCCTATTATGTGCTGGAACGAGCGGGCCAGTGAAAATGCTTAAATTGGCTGTTTTTTTTTTTTTCCTCCGGTTTTCCTTTCTTTATGTGCTGCTTTCTTGAAAACTGGTGTGCGAGGGGTCATTACCCGTGAATATTTTCCAAACAAATTAGAGGTGTGCTCAGCCACGAGTCATTAAAAATCACTGACTGCGCTTTAAGACCAAATGGAGTCATTTTGTTATCGCACTCTCAGCTGCGTGGCGAAACGTGTGTGTTCGGACGCCTGCTTGGACACCTCTGTATCCGTGCACCAACAGGGCTGCGCATATATATATATATATATATATATATATATATATATATATATATATATATATATATATATATATATATATAAATATTTATATATATAAATATAAAGTGAAAGTGGGGCCAGTATGAGGAGTCGGTAGCAGTTAAAAGGCAGAGTGAGAAGGGAGTCAACAGGCCTCATTAGAGCTGACTGATCCCACACTTCTGCGCTGTTCTCACCACTTAACGAGGCCTAATATGTTCAGTGAGGGCACACATGTAGCCCAGAAAGAAAGAAATAAGGGTTTGCGCACCCTCCACTGTGTTCATTGAACGTGCAAGTCTGAGAGACAGCAAGATTAGACGGATGGTTTAAAAGTGGAGGAGATGAGGTGCACTAATGAAAGTGAGCTGCTCCGTCTCTGCACGGATGTGACCCAGGCTAGCCGATCACGCCGTGTTGTTAAGTGATTCGATTATGTCCGATGGACAAAAATAGCCATTTATTCCATCCGTTGGGTGTAATCTGTGTGAGGCAGAGCAGTTTCTGAAATAAAACAAATAGGGAGTTGAGAGGACTTACTCTGTCCCACTTTCAGGACCACCTTCATGCCTTTTGTAGCACATACGCCCCCTCTCATGCTGTCCAGGCCTTGGCGCGTCCCATCTGATGTAGCTGCAAGAAAGGAAAAAGAATGTTAGACAGTTAGTTGGGAAGGAAAAAAAGTTTTTCTTTTGAAATAGCTCTCTGGTTCTGCAGAAGAAGCAAATATTGGATTCCTCTCACAAAGGCAGCCTTGCTGGAGTAACTTTTGCAGAGGAAGTATTTCAAACTTCCCCAGAAGCTCAGAAAATGACAAAAAAAAAACAAAAAAAAAAACACAGGCAGCAGCAGTTTAATAAATCCTTGTTTACTTGTTGGAGTTCATTAACGCCCCCCTCCAGCACGGTATGGACTAACCCGCTTGATATCAACTACAATTGCTGCCTGGGCTGCAGGAATAACTAAAGCAGGGGTGAGGGTAAGGTTTTGTTAGATGTTTTTAATCTAGAAAAGCAGGGACTGGCTGGGGGCTCTATAATCCAATCAAAAGTGTTTATGAAAGAAAATGGAGCCCCTGAGATGCAAATCAGTGCTTGATTGGGGAGAAAAACTGGTCTTGATTTATTAGAATTTAGACTGTGATGGATGGGTTACAGAAGCAAAGGGTAATTCTCTTTTACTGTCACTGCTCATGCCTAAATTAGGGGATTCAAAGACTGATTTTTTAAAGGAAGATATTTACTAAATATATTGTATATTTTAGGTTTTAAAAGCTCCTTTATTATTGAAAAAATCACACAAAAATGAACAGACCCCAAATATGCTAAACACAGCATCATCAGCATAAATGTAAATAAAAGTTGGATAATATTCCTCAAATAACTGATGAAGCTTCAATAAAATCATGGTTTGCTTTTATGGTTACAGTATTATTACCCATTTTCTAAAACCACAATCTAATACTGTATAAGGAGTTAGATGTTAATTTCCTATACCCATAAAAGATAAAGCAAATAGTATTTTTTTATTTAACAAGAACAGATATTCCCGATATAGAGTTCTGAGTTACAATCAAATGAGTTTATCTGTGCATTCTCATGGTAAACACAAAATCATTTTAAATTGGAGGAAATTGAACATCTGTTTTTAGAAAACTTGAGAAAAAATCTGGTTGCCTCAGTTTAAAGCCTGTATTTTAGTAATAAAATGAGGTACACAAAATATTTTTATGTCATGTCCATGTCTGATGGATCATGGATGGATGGATGAATGGATGGTTGGACAGACGCGCAGGCGGATGGATAAACGGAAACCCCTCACTGCAGATAGTTACTAAGTGACCCGGGGCATACATCAGCGAGATTTCAGCACAAACATTCACCGTTGCGTACAGCACGTCAGCTATTCCATTAAAGATGCCCAACCTGCAGGCTACAGTATGCATGGGAAGGGGAGAGGAGAGAGCTAAAGAAGCAGTGAGAGTAATATTGAGGATCGGAGGAAAAGAGGGGATGTGGACTCATAAGCACAAGAAAATGTGAGAAAATGGAAAAAAACAGAGAAAAATGAGAAGTAAGGAGATGCGAGGAACTTATTGCGATAATCACACCTCTTTCAGTTGATGCAGGCTTTGCTTGTGCAGCTGGTCTTAATACTTGAGAAACTTCTCCCTCTGCCTGGTTTGGGTTTCAATCACCAGACCAAATACTGGGCTCAAACCTCTATAATTGTCTTTAAGGTCTAGGCTGACAGACAGGCTAATGCAGGCTGCAGTAGCTCATAAACTGTACGGTAATCATACCCTTTCTCCCTCCAGCAGGCTGCACACACCACCCCTATACACGCATCCTTGTTTTCTCTCTTAAATATAAATTAACCTCTCTGAAGCAAAGGAAAGAGAGAAATGGCAAATGGAAGATGGCATTTGAGAGTGAGAGAAGT